ACATTATCATTTTATGACATTTTTATGTTAGATTCAAAATAGAGTAAATGATAGACCACAAGACCACTCATTATATATATTCCATTTCTTTTTGGATTTTTGAACAGATTTATCCAGATGGAATTCGTCATATTAGGTCGGACAAGCGTGTAAATGAATGGAAGACACCTGGGAAGAAGAATATTGTTAAGTGTGCTGTCAATCAGAGACAAGTCGTCATAGCTCTGACAGGTGGTGAATTGGTCTACTTTGAAATGGACCCAGTAAGTAATCAATCCTGAATTGTACACAATAGGCTTTTCATATGCATATAGAGTTTCATATAATTTTCCATTTTTAGTCAAGTGGAGATTGCTTATACATATCCAAACAAGGGGAAGTATAATTTTACTTTTTTTCCTCACTCTCTGATAAATGTCAAGTTTCAGTTCTGACAGATTCAAGTATTTGGTTGTGATATACATGTATCTATATCAAGCATGTTTTGATATGAAGTAAATGTAAGGTTTTATTATTCTAGACAGGACAGCTTAATGAATATACAGAGAGGAAAGAGATGTCCTCAGATGTTGTATGTATGGCTCTGGGACGTGTCCCTACAGGTGAACAGAGATGTAGATTCCTGGCTGTTGGTCTGTCAGACAATACTGTCAGGATTGTTTCATTAGACCCTGCTGTAAGTTTTATGGTATTAGGATATGTTTCTGTAATTGTTGGCTGATAAGTAGTATTAAAAAACATAACTTTATGAAGAAATTTTGATTTGTATGTATATTATTAAACGATATGTATTCTTCCTTACTCTGAAAATCAATAAAATAGAAGCAGTCAGTGAGTAAATATTGACAGATGATTCAATTCCTATTTACAGCAGCTTGGGTATTGTAATTTTGATTTGTCCATTAGGATTTCTCTATATGCCTAGTAATTGTCTTTTTGTTCAGCCATTCCATTTTTTAATTATTCCATAAGCAAAATCATCTGTATTTCTGTAATATTAGTTTTGTGTTCTATACAGGATTGTTTATCGCCATTGAGTATGCAGGCTTTGCCAGAACCTCCCGAGTCTTTGTGTATTGTAGAGATGGGCGGTACTGAAGCTAAAGAGGAAACAGGAGAGACTGGAAGTGTGGGAGGTCTCTTCCTCAATATCGGACTTCAGGTATTTGTAACAGCTATCTTTTTATATTAAAACACATAATGTCAGAATTTTCTGCCTTTTTGTGTGTGTATTCAGTGTTCTTCAGATCTCATCACGATGCTGCTGATGGGCGTAACTGCTTGTTACCATTTTTTTTAGCAGGACAACTTTTCTAATTTACATTAACATAATTGCCTAGTTGCATTGCATTTGATAATTTTAAAAACAAAAAACTAAATTATTTAAAACTTATACGTTTGAATTTTTCAGAATGGTGTATTACTGAGAACAGTATTAGACACAGTAACTGGTGACCTGTCTGATACAAGGACCAGATATTTAGGATTAAGACCGGTCAAACTCTTTAGAATTACAATGCAGGGATCTGAAGCTGTGAGTATTTGTGGAAAAGGAAAGATTTTATCTTTCTTGATATGAAATGTAGTTTTGTAGTTAAACTATTTACTCTCTTTGAAGTGATGAGCATAAATACTTTCAAAGACTCGACTTTGCCCTTTGCATTGTGTGTAAACAACTTCTTAAAGTTCATGTTGATCTTGTTTAATTCTATACATTTTCTGTAGTTGACCACCAGGAATTACAGATGCATAAAAAAATTTATTAAAGGAAAGTCAAAGTAAAAATCACATAGATGTTAACATAATATTAAAAGCATAACTTTAAATTTTCTGACTGAAAGGCATTAAAAAATAAGCAAAAAATCTATTTCTGTTTAAGACGATCAGTAAAGTAGTAAATTTGTTAACCATATTTTACAGGTGTTAGCTATGTCAAGTAGATCCTGGCTTAGTTATACCTATCAGAACAGATTTCATCTTACACCATTGTCATACGAATCTCTGGAGTATGCATCAGGATTTGCCTCTGAACAGTGTCCAGAAGGCATTGTAGCTATCTCTACAAACACGCTTAGGTAGGTCATATTTATTTAATCAAAAAGAACATTTTAATTAGAAGAGATTTTGAATTTTGTAAGAAAGAAAAGTTCTGCATAGAAAAACTTAATGATTTCTTGTTTAAAGTATATGTAGTAGCACATGACTATAAATTTTTTATGGAAGCTGAAAAGCTTTATAAAAATATTAAGTAGAAAATTTTTATGCCCCCGCCGTAGTGGAGGGGGGCATTAAGTTTTACCCTTGTCCGTCTGTACATCCGTCCGTCCGTACATCCCAAAATTGGTTTCCATTCTCTAACTTTAGTTTGCCTCAACCAAATGTTATGAAACTTATACAGAATGCTTATTAACACAAAACACAGGTCAAGTTTGAAATTAGGTGGCGTCACTTTTACCGTTCTAGAGTTATACCCCTTTACAAATGGAAAAATTGCTTAATTTTTCGTTTCCGTTCTCTAACTTCAGTTTGCCTCAACCAAATGTTATGAAACTTATACACAATGCTTATTACCACAAAACACAGATCATGTTTGAATTTTGGTGGTGTCACTTTTACCGTTCTAGAGTTATGCCTCTTTACAGATGGAAAAATTGTTGAATTTTTCGTTTCTGTTCTCTAACTTTAGTTTGCCTTAACCAAATGTTTTGAAACTTATACACAATGCTTATTACCACAAAACACAGATCAAGTTTGAATTTTGGTGGCGTCACTTTTACCGTTCTAGAGTTATGCCTCTTTACAAATGGAAAAATTGCTGAATTTTTCGTTTCCGTTCTTTAACTTCATTTTGCCTCAACCAAATGTTATGAAACTTATACACAATACTTATTACCACAAAACTCAGATCAAGTAAAAATTTGGGTAGCGTCACTTTTACAGTTCTTGAGTTATGTCCCTTTATAACGTTATATGCATGCGGGGGCATTATCTGTGTCCCATGGACACATTCCCCATTTATTTTTGTAACTAATTGGGGAAATTGTTTTATAATTGAAGATAATGTTTGTAGAGATTTTAGTTTAGGTACAAGCCTTAACAGGCAATCTAGGTGATCTTTCTATAATATTGCATTCTATTGAACAAATATCTTGAGCATTTATGTATTATGAGCTTATAGAGAGATGTGATGAATATTTGTTTTATTTGTACAGGATTTTAGCCTTGGAGAAACTTGGAGCAGTGTTTAACCAGGTGTCACATCCAGTACAATTTACTCCAAGAAAATTTGTGATACACCCGGATTCTAACAATCTTGTCCTAATAGAAACTGATCATAATGCTTACACTGATGCTACAAAGATGGAAAGAAAACAACAAATGGCTGAGGTAAGTTCAAGTTGACCTTATAAGCTTAAGTGGAATGCGTTAAAGCTTTCCTCTAAGAGAATTCCAAGAAACAATGAACAATTCATAAAAATTTGATATTTATTATTTTTGTCATAGTTCTTTGATTCTTTCTGAAAGTGCTGAGTATTTTTATATTCTTTTAGTCTCACTTGCAAAAAAAGAAAGTTGCAGAAAACAAAATATGGGTCTTGTTTTTATTTTGTATTTTTACCATTGAAAACATTTTAAATGTTAAATACTATGTCAATATTAGTAATTTTGTTAAGGTGTGTGAAGTCTGAGCCAGATCTAACTCATTTTGGGGCAACATTTTATGTAGAAGAGACACATGTAACCTTATTCAAAAATGGTCTAAATAATTTTATCTATGCATGATCTCACACATATTTCAACTTTGAGAGTTTTATTATAGTTTTTCAGGTCCGAAATAAAGAATAGTACAGTAGATTAAATATTTAGATGATTGTTGGTAAGAAATGATAGAATATTATGTTTAGAATTGTTTACTTTATTTTTTCTTGACTTGTTCATAACAAGCATTTAATTGCTTATGCTTTAGGAAATGGTAGAATCTGTGACGGAAGAACAGAGGGAAATGGCAGCAGAGATGGCTGCACAGTTCTTAAATGAAGAATTACCAGAGAGTATATTTGGTGCACCTAAGGCAGGATCTGGCATGTGGGCGTCGGTCATTCGTATCATCAATCCTATCAGTGGTCAGACACTGGATAAAATATCACTTGAACAAAATGAAGCTGCTCATAGGTATGTACATATCATGAATACAACACTATGTAAATAATTAACAATCTTATCTTTTTTAAGTATAAAAAATGAAAAGATACATATATGAGACAATATTCAAAATATTAAGAAGAAAATGAAACAACTAAAGTTCAAAGCAGGGTCTTCAATGAGCAGTTTGAATTTTAGTGTTCTTACATTTCTAGCATTGTACATGCATATTAAAACTGGTCACCGTGATATAGCCAAGAGTGCTAAAAGTGGCATTACACCCAATCAATCATCCACATTTGAAAAATAAGTTGTCAAAATAAAGGCAAAAGAAACATCAATACACAGAAAAAGTAATCTTTCTTCTTTGTAAATTTCGTTTGAAAATGTACAGAAATTTATCAACATCATTACTGACAGTTCTTTATACTTACAGTATATCACTACTGAAGTTTGCCAGTCGTGGAGATGATCAATTTATATTAGTGGGTGTGGCCAGAGATCTTGTTCTACAGCCTAGGTCCCTGACAGCGGGTTATATCTATGCCTACCAGTTAAAAGACAATGGAGAAAAATTAGAATTCTTACATAAAACAGAAGTGGAAGAAGTGCCAGCAGCAATTGCTTCATTCCAAGGAAGATGTCTTATTGGTGTGGGCAAATTTTTAAGAATTTATGATCTTGGCAAGAAAAAGATGCTCAGGAAATGCGAAAATAAGGTATGTCAAATTACACATCATTTAAACAATTAAACTTTTCAATTATCCTTGAGAAAAAAATCACATTGTTTGTGTATTGCTTGTAATCCTAATATACTATGCAATTCTTGATGAAATATATAGATTGGCTGAATGTTATTTTATTTTTATACGACCGCAAAAATTGAAAATTTTTTGGTCGTATATTGGTATGACGTCGTCTGGCGTCGTCCGAAGACACATTGGTTTTCGCACTCTAACTTTAGTTTAAGTGAATGGATCTCCATGAAATTTTACCATAAGGTTCAATACCACGAAAGGAAGGTGGGGATTGATTTTGGGGGTTATGGTACCAATAGTTAAGGAATTAGGGGCCAAAAATAAGCATTTTTGTAACTTCCAGACAATAACTTGTGTGTAAGTGTATGGATCTCTCTGACATTGTACCACAAGGTTCCATATCACAAAGGGAAGGCTGTAATTGATTTTGGGGGTAATTGCCTCAAAATTTTAGGAATTAGGGGCCAAAAAAGGGGCAAAAAACAAGCATTTTTCTAGTTTCATGACAATAACTTGTGTGTAAGTGTTTGGATATTTCTGAAATTGTACTACAAGGTTCCATATCACAAAGGGAAAGCTGGAATTGAGTTTGGGGGTAATTGCCCGAAACGTTTAGGAATTGGGGGCCAAAAAGGGGCCAAAAATAAGCATTTTTCTAGTTTCCAGACAATAACTTGTGTTCAAGTGTATGGATCTCTCTGAAATTGTACTGCAAGGTACCATACCACAAAGGGAAGGCTGGGATTGAGTTTGGGGGTGATGAATCATAAGGGGGTTCAAAAAATTTGGGGGGGGGGATTTTTTTTTTTTCTTTTTTTTTCTTTTTTTCCTTATTTTTTTTTCTTTTAAAATTTTCCATTTTAAGTTGGTTATTTCTGATTAATATTTAAAAGCAAATAATAATGATATGGTAGGAGATACACACCAAACAGGATGTGTAAATTATTATATAATAAGTATTGTGCAATAGCAAGAAATTTTCAATTGCACAGTATTGCACAATTGCAAGAAATCTTCAACTGCACAGTATTGCGCAATAGCAAGAAATCTTCAATTGCACAGTATTGTGCAATAGCAAGAAATATCCAATAGCACAATATTGCGCAATAGCAAGAAATTGTCAATTGTACAGTATTGCACAATAGCAAGAAATATTCAATTGCACAGTATTGTGCAAAAGAAGATACTTCGTATAAATTGCTTATTTCTTGATCAATTTCAATGGGGTTTTATTCTTGAATTCTTGGGGTTCTTTAATATGCTGAATCTAACCGTGTATTAAGTTTTTGGATTTTGGGCCCCGTTTTTAAATTGGTCCACATTGAGGTCCAAAGGGTCCAAAATTTAACTTTGTTTGATTTCATCAAAAATTGAATTATTGGGGTTCTTTGATATGCCGAATCTAACCGTGTATTTAGATTCTTAATTTTTGGTTCCGTTTTCAAATTGGTCTACATTAAGGTCAAAAGGGTCCAAAATTAAACTTAGTTTGATTTTAACAAAAATTGAATTTTTAGGGTACTTTGATATGCTGAATCTAAACATGAATTTAGATTTTTGATTATGGGCCCAGTTTTCAAGTTGGTCCAAATCGGGGTCCAAAATTAAACTTTGTTTGATTTCAACAAAAATTGAATATATGGGGTTCTTTGATATGCTGAATCTAACCATGTATTTAGATTTTTGATTTTTGGGCCCCGTTATCAACTTTGTCCACATTGAGGTCAAAAAGGTCCAAAATTAAACTTTGTTTGATTTCATCAAAAATTGAATTCTTGGGGTTCTTTGATATGCTGAATCTAACCATGTATTTAGATTTTTTATTTGTGGACCCGCTATCAAATTGGTTCATATTGAGGTCAAAAGGGTCCAAAATTAAACTTTGTTTGATTTCATCAAAAATTGAATTATTGGGGTTCTTTTATATGCTGAATCTAAACATGTATTTAGATTTTAGATTTTTGGCCCAGTTTTCAAGTTGGTCCAAATTGGGGTCCAAAATTAAACTTTGTTTGATTTCAACAAAAATTGAATATATGGGGTTCTTTGATATGCTGAATCTTACCATGTATTTAGATTTTTTATTTTGTGGGCCCGCTATCAAATTGGTTCATATTGAGGTCAAAAGGGTCCAAAATTAAACTTTGTTTGATTTCATCAAAAATTGAATTATTGGGGTTCTTTGATATGCCAAATCTAACCGTGTTTTTAGATTTTTAATTTTGGGTCCCGTTTTTTAAATTGGTCTACATTAAGGCCCAAAGGGTCCAAAATTAAACTTAGTTTGATTTTAACAAAAATTGAATTCTTGGGGTACTTTGATATGCTGAATCTAAACATGTGTTTAGATTTTTGATTATGGGACCAGTTTTCAAGTTTGTCCAGGTTGGGGTCCAAAATTAAACTTTGTTTGATTTCAACAAAAATTGAATATATGGGGTTCTTTGATATGCTGAATCTAACCATGTATTTTGATTTTGGACATTGGACCATAATAGGTAAATTAAAAAAATTGAAGTTCTTAGACCACATTCTTTCTGTGTCAGAAACCTATGCTGTGTCAAATATTTAATCACAATCCAAATTCAGAGCTGTATCAAGCTTGAATGTTGTGTCCATACTTGCCCCAACTGTTCAGGGTTCGACCTCTGCGGTCGTATCAAGCTGCGCCCAGCGAAGCATTTTATTTAACTTAAGTAGTAAAAGTATGTCAACACTGACTATGTAGGTTAATCTATGAAATTCTAATAGAGATCTTTTATTTTTTAGCATATCCCAAACTTTGTGATAGGAATTCACGTCACAGGAAGTCGTATTGTTGTGTCAGACATTCAGGACAGTTTTCATTTTATCCGTTACAAAAGACAAGAAAATCAGTTAATTATATTCTCCGATGATACAAATCCTAGATGGATTACTGCTTCGTGTATGTTAGATTATAATACAGTAGCGGGAGCAGATAAATTTGGAAATATTACGGTGGTAAGTTGACAGCCTAAGAATGATGATGACTATAAGGTTTTTTTTGGTATACATACATCTCCTCTTATTCACAACTACAGTGTTCTGCCTGTGGCCTTTTATAATCCTGGTTTTTGTGATGCTATCTGAAATGATTTTCTTATATGTTGTGTTATGCATGTGATGGTATATTTTATGTAAACAACATGGTATTTGAAAAATCTCTGTTTACAAGGAAGGATTATAACTCAAGGATGAATTAGCTTTGTTGGCAAATTCTACAGAATATGGCCAACATGTATTTAAGAAAAAAATCACTTCAGTCCATTTAGCTATAGTAAGGTATTTGTAATGTCTGATAATTTCCATATAAGCTGTATGCAAATTGTCTACTGGTTTGTGATCATGATTTTCAGTTACTTAAAAGTCGTAGATACATCTGGCATTTTACAAACAAACAGAAATTGTAAGCATGTATGAACAAATTATTTCAGCAGAAAAACTAAACATAAAAAGAACTCATCTGAATTCTAAATAAAACATTTAAAAACTTAGGCTATTTAAGTCAGAGAAATGATTCCTAGTTTTAGCAAACTTTACTGAATTTATAAACCAGTACAGAATTATTGAAGAATTCTGCCTGTGCTGAAACACCTTTGAAAGAAAGGCTTGCATTTGGTATTGAAATATACATGTATAAAGTACTTGAAAAAGAATATTGTTGTATATGCCAGGCATTTATTATTAAACTGCTTTTGTTATCTACAGGTTCGTCTGCCAGAAGATATCAGTGATGATGTTGATGAAGATCCAACAGGAAACAAGGCATTATGGGATAGAGGTCTACTGAGTGGTGCATCACAAAAGGTATACTGTAATTTCAGTTTACTTTAAAGACAAATTTCAATAATTATGTATTAAAGTTACTTTAAGCATTTACCAATTCAGTTTGGTATTATTTGTAACATTTATGCTAATTGTAAAACATGAAGACATCTGTCTGTCTACTTCTCAATTTGCCTGTTGCCTTTTTTTTTTAAATGATTCATTCACGATTTGTTTCATTGTAGGTTGATATAGTAATGAATTTTCATATAGGAGAAATAGTAACATCTCTACAGAAAGCCACCCTAATCCCTGGAGGTTCTGAGTCTCTAGTCTACACCACGCTATCTGGGGGTATTGGTATGCTGGTACCATTTACTTCACATGAGGCAAGTAACTATTCATTCTATAGAAATTTACTTGGTGGGTAAAATTTTAAATTGAAACTTATTCTTAAACCAAACTCAAGCTATGAAAAAAAGTTTTTTGAAATATGTGTTTTTAACTGACTGACTGTTAAAATCTAATTTCTGGCAATAATGTCTTGCATATAAAAATGTTAGAGAGGTCAAAAACAAAGTTCAACCGTAGTTCCATGTATAATTAATAAATTATATATACTTTTCAGGACCAAGATTTCTTCCAGCATCTAGAGATGTACATGAGATCAGAGAATCCTCCTCTGTGTGGGAGAGACCATCTATCATTTAGATCATATTACTTTCCTATAAAGGTAATACTAACTAGTATAAATAATCTGGAGTTTGTTATAGTAGTCCTTAGTAAGGAAAATAATGGGATGTGGTATAATTGCCAAGGAGATAACTATCCACCAGAGTCAAAATGACTTGGATGTAAAAAACAAACAGGCACCAAACAGCCTTCCAACAATTATCAATACCCAAATAGTATTGTCTACTAAAAAAGGCCCTGATATGGCAAAATGTGAAACAATTCAAATGAGAAAACTAACAACCTGATTTATGACAATACAATTTAACAAAAATCAAATATGACCTTAAACTTTCAGGTATATTTAGTATTATTTTTTATCATTTTAGGAATAGAATAAGAATAAGAATATTTAATGTTCCAATTAAGGGCCATCGGTGGGCAGTATGATATTTATACTCACAAAACAAGACACTATGGTTTTGTTAAAAAATTTATTTTTACATTGAATTGAAATATTAAATGTTCATACAAGCTACATATATTTCTTGGCCTTATATAAATCATGTACATTTTATTCAGGCAAGACCAGAACCATATATGAAGTATTCCTCGATCATATCAGGAGCATTAAATAATCTGATCATTCCAATAGTATTAAGTATTCTTTTGATCTTTGTAGAGTATCATTGATGGAGACCTGTGTGAAATGTTTAATTCTATGGATCCTGGTAAACAGAAGGGTGTGGCAGAAGAGTTAGATAGAACACCTAGTGAGGTAACTATATTCTTGAATATTGAGAACAATAATGACATTATTATTACCTTTTTGGTACCCATTCTAGAAGTAATGAGGATAAAAAGATTTATCACATATTTTGTAATTAGTGTATGTGTGCTGGTCTTATCAAAGTTGTGTGTGTGTTATAAGATACCTTTGTATCACAAACAAAAGATGATGTAAGATAAATCTAAAATGAATTATGTAAATGTGGACATGATGTAGATTACAATCCGTGTTTCAACTGAAAATCTGATTATAACAATTTGTAACTGATCCACATGTTCGTTGTTTGAAAAATGGTCCATTTTCTGATTGAATGAAATAAAACAAGAGTGAGGAAGAACATAGTTATACAGGAAGAAGTGAAGTTTAATAGTGGTTATATTAAAATTCAGGCTTCACAATATAAAAATAAAAAGATGTGGTATAATTATCAATGAGACAACTCTCCACCAGAGACCAAATGACATAGAAATTAAAACTGACGGTCACCATTTATCCTTCAACAATAAGCAAAACCCATACCATATAGTCGTCTATAAAAGGCCCCGAAATGACAAATGTTAAAGAAGTCTATTCTTTTATATCAGTCATTTCTATTCAGACTGCTATAAGAGCATTAAAAAAATCTTGACTGTTGAAATCAAAATTGTAGTAAATCTGATGCATTATAACCTTGACTAAGCTTTTTTATATGACCAAATATATGCCCTACTTGTGACATTCATGACACATAATCAGAGACTGTTTGCATTGTCAATATTAAGGTGCTGTCAGAAATTTAAAGTATTTTTACATCAGAAACTTTCCTTAACATGAAACTATAAACTTGAGTATCTATGTTTTGATTGTTCAATATTTGCTTGTCATATAAAAGTTGTGTGTTTGTGTGTGTTATAAGCCACTTTGTATCACAAATAGATGATGAAATAAGATCATCTTAATTGAGACAAATTTATATAAAAAGTGGACATGATGTAGATTACAATCCGTGTTTCAACTGAGAAACTGATTATAACAATTTGTAGCTGATCCACAGGTTCATTATTTGAAAAATGTGGTTGCTTTCGGTTCTATGTTATACAATGAACATAAGAATGAGAGATAGAAAATCATTGTACAAAATGGTATATTGAACTTAAGGTATCAACAGTCTTTTTCTTTAAATTAGACATTTCTATTCAGATTGTTACAAGAACTTTTAAAAAAAACATGTCACTGTTGAAATCAAAGGAAATTTGATGTATAATGACCTTAATGAAGCTATTTCAAATGAAAATTGTTTGCCTCACTAGGTTAGATGTTGCAATCTTAATTTTCTTTGTTGGCATCATGAACACTGAGATACAGTCTGAAATAATAAAAAAATTGGGCAAGAATTTTTTCTAACCTTCATAGAATTTCATTGGAAAATTTTTTTTTCATTATTAAGAGATAGCATCCGAGGGAAAATTTTGAAAATATATTGTTTCAAATGTTTTTAAACCTGGATATTGTCTGAGTTAGTTTTTTAGACATCAATAACTTTATCAAACCTTCATGGAGTTTTAGGATACATTTACAGATACCATCTATTTCTCTGTATTTTGCTAACTAATCGACACTCATAACCATTAAACTTGAGCATCTATGTTTTGATTGTTATATTTGCTCGTTATTTAAACTTGTGGGTGTGTTAAACCACTTTTGTATTGGAAATAAAAGATCAAAGATCAAACTAAAAGAAGAAAAATTTATATCAAATGTGGACATGATGTAGATTACAATCCGTGTTTCAACTGAAAATCTGATTATAACAATTTGTAACTGATCCACATGTTCGTTGTTTGAAAAATGGTCCATTTTCTGATTGAATGAAATAAAACAAGAGTGAGGAAGAACATAGTTATACAGGAAGAAGTGAAGTTTAATAGTGGTTATATTAAAATTCAGGCTTCACAATATAAAAATAAAAAGATGTGGTATAATTATCAATGAGACAACTCTCCACCAGAGACCAAATGACATAGAAATTAAAACTGACGGTCACCATTTTTCCTTCCAACAATAAGCAAAATCCATACCATATAGTCGTCTATAAAAGGCCCCGAAATGACAAATGTTAAACAAGTCTATTCTTTTACTGTAATCAGGCTTGTATAGTTCGCACTGGCACATAGTCCGCACCCCCTTCTCCCCACATAATTTCAGGTAAAAAAACTTTTTGTAACTGTTAGAAAAGGTCTAATGGTAATTTTAAATCCTGTATGGTCGTTTGCGGTATTTTCTTGGAAAAACCTATT